GAGTGGAACTGCCCCACAGGGTTTCCAAGGCTGTTGTCTTTACAGAAACTGACTGCCTTATCTTCTGCGGAGCAGCTGGTGGGTTTGAACCATTGACCTTCTGGTTAGCAGCCAAGCGCTTAACCACTCCACAACAGGGTTCCTAACGTGCTGGCTTGCACTAAATATTACTTCTCTTCTTCCATCTCTCTCTCTGCCTTCTTCAATTCCCTACTTGACCTTTTAACCGCTACACTTGTCCCTGCAGAGTAACAAGGTAGCCTGTTAAAAACAGCCACCACCTGAATTGACCACGGCGGTGCCGTCCTCACGTGAAGGCCTTGACCAGTCATTGGAGGTCGACATTGATTGACCACACGAATAATGAAACTCAGGCCTGAGAAATTATACAGGGGTGCTCTCTGTACTAAGTTTGCAAGCAAGATAAAAAGTTAATTTAAAAAAAAAAAAAAAAAGTGGCCCAGAGTTACCCATACAGGCAGCCCACGGGGCCGCTCTCTGAACCTGGGCCTTTTATCTCCAAGCAAAACATCTTAGTTGTGCTTTCGTGGAAGCTGCCTTAGAGAGATGAGATGCTTGCCAGAGAGACCCACGTAAGAGCAGCTCGAGCACTCGGAATCTCACTCACTGGGTCCCCAGGGTTAGGAGCACACGCGTCTTAGAAAGCCGCATAAACTTTCTGTCGTGGGTTTATGGGCATGTCTCAGCCAGAGAATTAATTTAAAACTGCATCCACCAGGCAGTTGTGTGGCTGGAAGGACATGGCATGTCTGCTGGGGTGGTGGGTGTAGAGCTGTGTGCTCTCACAGTGACCGCCTTGTTGGAAGGATGCCTGCACCGTCCTACAGGCATGTTTTGAGATGACAGGTGGGTGGAGTGGTAGGAGCCAGCCACTCAGCCATAAGATCTGGTGGTGAAATGGCCAGGGTCCCCCACAGGGGAGGCTACTGCCTGTTCACTGCCTGTCTCGGAGTTGAGGGGATGAACCTGCATGGTGCAAGCCGAGGACATAGACCCAGGCACCTTGGGGATAAGGAGGCGCCAGGACCCAAGAGCAGGGAGGGGTCCACGGGTGGGACCCCTTTCCCTGGGTGAGTGTGACTGGCTGCCCTTCTTGAGAAGAGCACCTGGTGGGGCTCAGGTGTTGTGGTCTTCCTCCTTGGTGACACTGGCCACTTTCAGAGTCCCCGCTGCCGATAGCCCCAGCGCCTCGTTTCAGTAGTCAGGCTGGAGTGTGGGACAGGCTCAGGTGTGAGGCCGGAAGCCTTGTGGCTTTCAAAGTGCGGCTGAAGCTGGTGGGGCCTCCTCTGTGCTTCCAAAGCGTTTCTCTTAGTGCAAAGAGAAAAGTCAAAGGGGCTCAAGGGTGCAGTGTGCTGGCTGGGGCGGCTCGGGGACTGCCCTGCTCCTGCCGCTCCTTGGCCCTTTCTGCACCTGCCTCCATCCTGGGTGGCGTTGAGAGAGTCTCCCCTGTCCCTCCGCCCAGTGACCTCCATGGCCTCTGCCCGGACCCTCAGCTGCCCAGGCAGAGCATGCGTCTCCTTGCTCCCTGAGCCCTGGTACAGCCGGTGACTAATCACTCTGGTTCCCTGTCTCTCTCCCAGGCAGGCGTGGGACCTGGCCGTGGACATCTGTCTCTCACAGCTGCCAACAATCATCGAGGAAGGCACTGCATTTAGGGTGAGTGCCCCCGGGCATCCCACACTCCACACACTGGCTGGCTGCAGAGCCATGTCTGCATGTGGCACCCAATCCTCTGGCCACTTCAGAGGCACAGCTCAAGATTGGATTGACCAGGGGTTGGGGCTGCAGTCCTGGGTAGACAGCTAAGTGCTTAACTGCAAACCGAAAGGTCAGAAGTTCAAGGCTACTCACAGGTACCTCAGAAAAAAGGCCTGGCATTCTTCTTCCTGAAAAACCAGCCACTGAAAACCCTGCAGAGCGAGCACGGTCCCGCTCCTCCACACGCGGGCCGTTCGTCGGGTCACCGCTGACGCCCAGCGGCTAGCGCACGGTCCCGCTCCTTCACACGCGGGCCGTCCATTGGAGTCACAGCTGACGCCCAGCACCTAGTTTGATTTTGATTTTTTGAGGTTAAGTTTTGAAATCGTGTGCTTTTGAGAAATGCCTTTTCTGTAAACGTTGTGATCATGAATCTGCTTCTTGTCATGTAGACCCCTTCCTGCCCCCGGCCCGAGCTGGGGTTTCATCCTCTGGCCTCCTGTCTGTAAACCCGTAAACCCTGGGCTGGCCCTGGCCCGTGACTGGCTTTATCACTCAGTGGCCCATCGTTGGAGACCCTTTAGTGTGACACGGAGCCCAGGAAGGCAGTGCATCGTCCCCAGGCTGCATGCTACAGGTGGCCATGGGTGGAGTGGGTCCTGACCCCCATAGGTGTCCCCCGCCTCGCACCAGGAGCCCCTCTTGACTCTGCCCACACAGCCACTGCTTGCCTCTTACACCATGTGCTGGTTCCTTCAGATTCCCTCACTGATTCCCTCACTGCTGAGTGTGAGTGAGTGGGAAACCCACGTGACGGCCTGCTGATGTGCTGGGCACAGGCGGCCGTGTGCCCAGGCTGGGAGGGCCTGCTGATGTGCTGGGCACAGGCGGCCGTGCGCCAAGGGTGGGAGGAGCATGGGGATCCCCAGACATCCCCCCACCCCCATCCCCACCCGGGAGATGGCGTCCCACCCCCGTCCCCACTCAAGACACAGCAGTGTCATGATGGAAAGCACAGCTTCAGGACCTGCGTGGGGCTTGAGGGCCATCATGTCAAGAAAACTGCGGAGCCCTGCATGTTTAAACCCTATAGCTAGAAGCTGCACACCCCTCACCTGGCTGTCACCTGTGTGGTTGGCGTTGTCCATTAGGCCTGCAGACAGAAGGTCTCCCTCCTCTGTTGTACTGGGCCCTCCCTGAGGGCAGGTGCAGGGTCTGGTTCGCGACCTCAACCCCCGCACACTGACCACCCCCCTCACGCACCCCACCTCCCTCACCCAGTCTCTCCGATGAGTCACATTGGGAAACCTGTCAGCACAGCGCCTGCCTTGGACTGTGTGCATGGCTGTACGTTGCCCTTTGAAGGGCTCGGAAGTGCACACTCCCACAGGAAGTAGGCGGTCTGTGTGTGTATGCACATGTGCACGCGTGCACACATATGTACCTTTTAAAAAGGATGCTTTGCTCTGGTGCCAGGTCTCCTTGCCACATATCCTTTCAGGTGTCTTCTTACTTTACTTCACACTCCTCTAACATTTGGGAATCATTTCACCAACCTAGGATGGTGGGGGTGAAGGCCTGACACGCTGCCTGCTGGGCCGGCCAGTACTTTTCCAGAAACATCACATACATGTAGCCAGGGACGTATCATCAGTGTGCAGATGGCTGGGTTTTACAAGCTCTGTGTACTCAGCTACCCAGCACCCAAGTCATGCAACTGAATCAAAGAGCTGAGCAGCACCAAGGCTCCTTCCAGCCCCTGTGTCCATAGTCTCTGGGTTGACCTGATCTCACCCAGCGCTGGGTTTGCCACAGGTCAATGTGGCTCGTTCTCATTGGAGGGTACAGCACCACCCCAGAACTCACTCCCCCGGTAGCCAGGGGACACTCTGAGTGTCCAGTTTGCAACTGTCCCAAATCAAGCTGCCAGTGCCGATTTAGAGGCAAAGGAAAACTCGGTAACACTGACCCTGTCTTTACTTAAAACTTGGATGTGTTTTTCCTTACGGATTTTTGCACTGGTTTTTATTTTCTTAATATCGCATCAGCATGTTACTTATCTTGATTTCTGAGTTCTCAACCCCCCATCTTAAATGTCGTGTGCTGGGCGAGTGCCTCACTGCCTCAGCCCTGCCCCGGCCCAAGTGCTGCTGGTTCTTGTCTGTGTCCTTTGGTGACCACAGGTAGGTGTGTCCATCAGCCTTACCGGACGCGATCGCACAGTTTTCTGGAGCAACTCTCAGTTCTCTGTGCTAGTCCTTTGGCCCCTTTGTCCTTGCACCAGCATAATGCTTAGTTCTGGGAGCTTTAGAAGTCTTCTGAGGCTGATCATTGAAGTCTTCTAACTTTGTTCTTTTTCAAACTTGCCTGGTGACTTGGCCTTTGCATTTTCATGTGAATTTTAGGATCAGCCGATTTCTGCATAGAGCCTGCAGGGATTAGATTGAGAGTGCAACCCATCTGTAGACTAATGTGGAGCAGTTGACATCCTTCTGGTCCATGAACATGGTGTACATCTCTGGTATTTGGCTCCTTAATTGCTCCCAATAATGATGCGTTGGCTTCATTTCTAGGCATTTGACTTTCTGTGCTGTCACAAGTTGTTGTCAGGTGCTGTCGAGTCGCCTCCGACTCAGTGACTTTGCACACACAGCAGAGCGAAACACAGCCTGGTCCCGTGCCAGCCCCACGATCCCTGCTGTACCTGAGCCATCGCTGCAGCCACTGTGCCAGTCCATCTCCTTGAGGCGCTTCCCCTTCTTCGTTGACCCTCCACTTTACCAAGAGTGGCATCCTTCTCAGGGAATGGTCCCTTCTGACACCATGACCAAAGGAGGTGAGAAGTCTAGCCATTCTTGCTTCCAAGGAGCATTCCGGCTGCACTTCTTCCAGGACAGATTGGTTAGTCCTTTTAGCAGACCATGGTACTCTTAGCACTCTTCTCCATTGTGTAAACATCTTTGTGGTATTCTCTGCTTTGAGCCAAGATCCATCTGACATCAAGAATGATATCCCTCGTTCCACGTCCTCTTCTGAATCCAACTTGTATTTCTGGAAGTTCTCTGTCAATATACTGCTGCAACCATTTTTGAATTATCTTAAATAAGATTTTACTTGCATGTGATATTAATGATATTGTTCA